ATTTTTGGAGGCGATCCTTTCAGTTGGCAAATGAAGAGGCCAGTTGACGAGTCATTTACCGAGTCCAATTCATTACTGGAAGAATTCGTAGTGTAATTATTCTTTAGCTGCGAAATGGGAGCATTTATGTTATCATTCCAAACATCCCTCGTCCCTACTTCACTGATTTGTAAAGATTGGATTTTACTGTTAGACGCATTTGAAGGACTATTAACAACATTTAGAGGCGAATCTGAAAAACTATTAGATTGAACATACACAGATGAGTCGTTCGCCGGTTTACAAGGTGTTTGAGATGCTTGCCCAGACACAAAAGAGGACGTTGTGCACTTTTGGGAGGAACTTGGATTATCTATCATCTCGATTTCCGTTTAATGCGAATCTAAGTCACAATTGATCGGTAAATCTTTTCAACTGACGATGCTATCATTACGGGAAAATGTCATTGGAAAGGGCAGCTTCTTCAGGTGACCAAAAGATAAACCAATATTTAGCTCTGATTAACGTATTAACAGAAATCATTAGTACGCGTGACAATCATACGGAAAAAAATCGCTCCAAATACATATTCATCCGATTTTGCTTCTTTTGGTGATGCCAAATATTTGATTTTTGATCCTAAGTTTCCGATAAGAGAGTTTTTTTGGCGCATCAGTTTTCTTAGGAGCAGGTGAAACAATTACGAATTTTGTGACAGAAATTCTGAAATGCAAAGAGGAATACGAAGTTAATTCTACTTGAAGTAAACGTTAATAAAAGTACAGAAAGAGTAAAATAGAAAACTTCTCCTTCGAAATTGAGGATAACTTCGTAATTAGGGGCAGACTTACAGAGATACAAATTACACAGTAGGGACAGCTTATAAAATACGTACACATATCGATCGTGTCTCTATCAACGTATCGTGTCTCGTGTTTTATGTGTAAAGAGGCTTGATCCTTGCAAACAAATAAGAATCTGACGACATTTTTTAAGGGCGGGGAAGAGGTAAGATTCTTCGAAATTACTCACATTATGAGAGAATTTTTGTATTTAGCATGAGAAAAAACATATCACTATCATCATTACCAAGAATGTCAGCCTAAAATTGAGCCACCTTTGGTCTTCATTCAATGATGTTGATAATAGTATTGAAATACTTGTTCAAATATTCAAGTATTATCTAATAATATTATCATACGTGACTTAATATTATTTATTCCAGGATATGACGACATTTTGGCGGAAAACAACACTCTCATAAGCTCATGGTATGAACCTTTAGATGCCCAAGACTTTTTTCGTACGCGAGGTTCCATGTCGGGTCAAATTGACCCGTATTGTAATAATTGTTAGTTTTTGAAGTGTTATCTATGTTATGTCTAAGTTTTTGAAGATAAGAAATACTTATTTGGAAAGTCCACCTTTTTGTTACATCCTGGCGCTTTTTGCCCCCTTCAGAGAGCTTGAGAAACCTTTCAACATTTTCTATTTTTCCTCCAACATGATTATTAATTTGGCCACATCATAGCACATTTTGAGAAACTTAACCATAATTTTTCTCAAATTTCAAAGATTGACATACAGCAGCGCGCGTTGACGACGGCGCAGAGTTATAACTAATTGTGCTTGATGGATGTCCGTGTTGTATTTGCATAATTGAAGGCGCTATGGCACGAAGCGTGAACTCGCAATGCTCCGCTCTATGCTGATTGTGAGGTGTCGCGCAGATTCGGGAGAAAAGTAAAAGCACGAACCGATTACGTCTCTTCTATCTTCGGCTGTGTTGTTCACGTAGCCCATAGAGCACCACAAAAAATGAGACAAACGGAAACAACACAATATGGGAATAGACCAAGCGAAAGAACGCGCGTTGATGACGGCGCAGAGATACAACTATTCGTGCTTGATGGATGTCCGTGTGGTATCTGCCAAGTTGAAGGCGCGAAGCGTGAGCTCGCAATGATCCACTCTGTTGCTACCAATTAGGTATCGCTCAGATTCGGGGAAAAAGCTTAAAAAACGAAGCCCGATAACGTCTTTCCTGTATTCGGCTGCGTTGATATTCGATTTTCCCCCTTTATCCTATTTGGTGTCCGATTCTTTTTTTACTATGTATTTGTGGACCTATGTCGAAAACTCGTATATGCCGGCCCCATAACTCCCCCAGAAAAGATAGTTGATCCCAAATGACCTGGCTTGGGATTCCTAGGGGTATTTGCCAAGAAGAATTCCCTGACACCCGATGTTTTCCTATTTTTCAATGTCATGTCCGATTCCTTTTCTGTAATGTATGTACACCTACATGGGAGGCGTGTATGCACCACTGCATCAGCCTCATACAACCCACAGGAAATGTGTTTATGGCCAGCCTTGGGTCAATTTGACCTGCTTTGAGTATCTACGAGTTAAAGAAAGTGATAGAAATCCAGTTATAAAATCGAACAATCTTAAAATACTTCAGAGGAACAATATTATATGATCCTTAAGGACACAATGTTTTCCCAAAAATGAGATAATTCATCTGAAAACTCAATAAGTGGGTACAGAGTTCAAAAAATAAGATTTTTATGGAGAGAGAGAGAAAAAAAAAAACCAAGTCTAAGCACCTTCTGGGAATTTGTGAGAGAATTATCTGTTGTCCAGAGGTGTGCGGCAAGTTGGACAGTGAGACAAGTTGCAGGCAGTATGAAGAGGATATCGAAAGGTCTCATTCAGAGATTTTAAAAACTTGGGGACCACTTACTCCACTTTTTTGCAAATTTTCCCTAAAAATCGAGTTACAAGATTTCCTCATCCCATTTTATTCTTTCCTCTCTTAGGATCTCGAGAAAGCAGTAAAAAAACCCTCTACGGAATCACTGTAATATTGGGCAAAATTTTTCCTCGACCACAATGAAATTCCTCATGAGATGAAAATGGGGAACATCAAAACTTCGCAGCATCCGTACAAAGTAATCTAGCTTCATTCAGACAGCGAGTTGGTACTTGAGAGTTTTTTATAGGTACCACAATCCCTTCCTTCATTGTTTCTTTCTCATTTCGTGCTTTAAGAGGTCTAAGGAAAATCATTCCCTGACCCAGTGCTTTGGTCTATGCAGCATGGCTCGGCTTTAGATCAAAAGGTCATTTAGCTGATACTACCAATTTTTTTTTTTTTTTTTTTTTTTTTTTTCTATTGTCAGGGCCAGATTTACCTTCTTGCCGCCCATGGGCCCCCTGTATTTGGCCGCCCCCTTCTCATTCGATTTGAAACATCAATAAAAACCATCAAGTGAACGTGCCGGAGGGGGAGGGGTGCATAAGACGCGTTCACTCGTGTTGGACACATTTTTTGCGAAAGCCCTGTCAACACTACTAGCAAAAGTTAAGTTCCGTGCGCCTATCTCTGTGTGGAAAAGGCCTTCCATTTAGAAGGAATGAACGAAAAAATTAAGAAAGAACAAACACGAATGTGCTTTAATAATTTTAACTTCCACCGCGCCGCACTGCGCCGCGCTGACCGCACTGAGTTTGGCGCAATGCGTGAAGTATTCCTACAGTCTTGTAGGCGCTATGCGTTTCACGCCGCTCGCTGCTGAACGCAACGCACTACACACTGCGTGTTTGACGCAACGCGTGAAGTATTCATGCACTCTTGTTGGCGCTAATATGTGTTACATGCCGACCGCCGCGCCGAGGGCTTCTCCTTTTCATCTCAAATCCTTGTCATCATTGCTCTCTGCGCCGCGCCGTTCCAGGCCGAATTGCGTGTTTGGTCTCTTTCTTAACTCGACTAATTAAAGGTGCTGTCTCTTGTATCATTGAAAGACGACGAAATTAGAAATTATTATACTCTCAGGAAATGAGAGATTTTGTCGCATTTTCTCGTTGGTAATTATTTTTCTGAATCCAATTTTTTTTTTTTACCTACGTTCAAAAAAAAAATTGCAAAATTTGCCGCCCCCCAAATTTGCCGCGGTCCATTGGCTACCTCCTAAATCCGGCCCTGTCTATTGTCAAAATATTATCTTGGCTGCTGTCACATGCTCCCATGGTCGAGGATTCACTATATCTCTAGAAGCCAATTATTGAAACTAAGCCTTTGCCTGCTGGATAAGAATATACCTACAAAGGTGGAATAAAGCTACGACAATGGTCAGCTATGCTGGTCAGATGACTGTCATTAGCAGGAGAGCCCTTCAACAGGGCGAATAATTGCTTAGTTGTTGCTTTCTCAGGAAATAAGGGTCATTGGTTAGTCAATTATCAAAACAAAATACAAGGCTCTCTTGCAGATCTTAGTCATCTCAACGGCTAGTCTAGAAGACGAACCGGTCGTAATTTTTTGGTCGAAACCAACGAGCACATTTCTAAATAAAATCCCCCAACACACACGCCGTAAAATCTTCTAGCAAAGTCAAAAATAGTTTAAAAACGAAAAAAACTCTTTCTTTTCATCTTTTCAATTCTTGTCGCTTCTTCCTTCACTCTTCCCGCACATCCTGCGGTCCGGAGGGAATTCGTTCCTGTAGGTAAAGGAGAGACGGACGGCCTTAGGCCGTCTGACCCAGCCTTGACCCAAGGTACAGTAGCCAGTCCGTAAAAAGGCAACACAGCAAACTTATCAGAGAGCTCTGCCCCACCTTCGTCAACTTGTCTTGTCCAAAGACACACACATAATTTCAATAATCTACTGCAGGTCATACCTAATTCTTGGCTTTTTCAATAGATCAGTAAAAATAATAACAACTATTTCACCCGAACATTAGGTGAAGTGACAAAATATTTGGCAGACGTGCCTGTATGAAGATTTTTGGGAAGAAGATTTTCCTAAGGATCTATTGAGTAAAATTTGTGGTAAAAATAAAATTTCTCCTTCAGAACTTTTTATGGCACCTGTCTTGTCATGCCTATGGGCAAGTCAGGAATACAAAATCGGTTACGCACAAATTACTGATTCAGCAATTCAATTTTTTTTACATAAATTTAAAAATCAAATAAATATATTTTTTACATTTATAAAAATGAATTTGACTTACTTGTTTTTCGTGGTAAACATTTTCAAGATCAGAATCATGCCGATTCATGGTGGAGTTAGAGAACTTGAAGCAATTCGAGAACCATTTCGCACTTCCTGCACTCATGCTGGCTTTCCCCACCTACAAAAGAAATCAAGGGTAAGTAAAATTTTTACCAATTTCAAGAGTGAGGAAAAATGTATCATTGTCCCAGTCCTCACTTAGTGGCTAAGTGAGCAGCTGCTACAAAATCACTATTTATGCCGATCGCTGCTACTTGGGTACAGTAAAAATAACCATGAAGCTAACCAAATTTTCAAATTAAAATCTGTGTCAACTAAGTTTATGTACTTTTAGCATGCACCAGGAGATCCACAATTCAGATTCTTGTATTCACTTTCAATGATAAATTGAGGACAGCTTTTCTTCTCTTGCACTCTATGAGTGCGTAAAATTACTTGGCGTAGATTTTAGTTAGACTTCTCCATCTTCTGCCACAAAACACATGAGACTGCTAGAAAGTAGTTGAAAAAGATGAGCTCATCTTAACCAGGGTCAACTTTTTAAAAAAGTCCTGCCCCTATGAAGAGAGTAACAGAAGTCCATTCACCGCAGCAGTTGAGATAGCAAATGGCCCACTCGGCTCTTACTTAGTCATCAAACTTTATTTTGCAATTAAGTACCTGAATTAAAACCAACTTGAATGCATACTATATGGTGTCACTCATAGAGTTCTGGCACTGGCAGAGTTTATTTGAGACTTCTGAAATATCAAGAGAATGGTAACAGGTGAGAGCATACTTACATCCGTCAGTTCAAATTAAAAGTACTTCAGTCCAGAAAATTTGCTTCCTTCTTGTATAAAATAGGTAGAAAAATACAGATTCTAAAGAAATAAAACGTTTCACTGCAGCATTAATTTGTGAATTATGAGATAGTGAAAAAATTCCAACTCTTGAGCTTATCACTTACTTATCATTTTCGATCAAAACAACAACAATGTCTGTCGCCGGTGAACGGTGCACGCGAAACGATGAATGTTTTGCGTTTTGTTTGGCGTGTGCTCGGACATTTTTAATCAATCGATTTTTGTCCATAAGTAATTTATTTTTACCATGACTTTTTTAGTTTTAAAAAAGCCGTGACTCGTTACAACAGCATTAAGGTCTTTTGTGAACCATGTAGTTTGTGTGTCTTCAGTAAATCCGACTTTTATACGCTAGTTGCCTTCTTTTCCACATCTTATGCACGTTATCCAATCTAGGTCTAATGATAAGGGTGGCTAACTCATTGTGTCTATTCATTATCTCTTGTACTTAACACCGATTTTTTATGCTCTGTCCCTATTGAATCATAATTGTACGAAGTCATCTTCCAGAAAACTATGGAAGAATGGTCATCCGGTTCCTGAACATATTTTTTGCATATCTGTGTCTTGGTATGCCAGTTGGAGGTATGTGTGTCCTTTTCTCATACCTTGCAGCTTTTTTCAGAGAACTTGTGAAACAGAAAAGGATCTGATCGCTGGTAGCGGCTGCTGACACATGTCAGATTTTAGAGCATAGGTGGGCCAAAGACTTTTCCGTGAATCGGTTTCCTTAAGTCTTAGTTTGTCCTGGCCAAATTGGTGGTACCTACTGCACCTATTGGAGATTCCAATCCCAAGATCATGAAGATTGCTGGTAGAAATACGACAGTATGCACTGTGCATTTTCTAGTGTCATCTCTGATTGATCTATACTTGTGTCAAGATTAGCTCGCCTGACTTGTGCTTTCTAAGAGCTGAGATGGATGTCAAAAGTTTTTTGCAACCCACATATTTTTGACTAGGAACTAGAAATTTAAGTGAATTAAGAATTCTCCAAGCACAGGCTCTAATAATTAGATGTAAACTAGCTTTAGAGTCAAACTGCACCCGGAATTGAATTTTTACAGGATTCTCTCAATTTTACTCGTGTAGGCTTTAAAACCGCTGGACTAAGTAATGAAAGTAAAGCAATTATGGCTAATGTCCTGGTTTCTCTCTTAGCTTACTAAAATTTTGTCTTATTTTTGTTGTTTATTCTTTGTCAGTTTTATTTTTAATCTAATAATCACACATTTTTCAGGGAACTCTCCAAGTGAAGACAAATCACACATTACTCAGTATGTACTCAAAGTTGACCAAAACAGCAATGTGACGTTGCCTTGTCTGTATGATAAGCATGTGACTACTGTTGCAACAGGCTCTTTAGCCTGGTTTCGAGAGGGTAAAAATGAGAAAAGTATACATCATTCAAAGGTGCTACCAAACGGATCGTTGTTCCTAATAGATGTTAGCATTATGGATGAAGGTGTCTACAAATGTGTCATGCAGGGTGAAAAAGACACTGATTTGTCTATTGCAACCCTAAATATTCGCAGTGAGTTCCTTATGATTTGATTATAATCTGTCTCTCTAATTTTTTGAGTATTTTTTTTACTGGTATGAAATGGATACATCAGTAATGTACATGCTGAAAAGTGGATCTATAATGAAGAGGTAAAAGTGCCTAATCAATAAATCAGAAAGCTCAAAAGATGCACCGAAATATTCTTAGCAGTGCTGTAAAATCCAGGTTGTGTGAGTAGGAGGAATATGCAGATAAAATGTCGAATCAATGATGCCCCGAAGTGAAGAAAAAGTGAAATTCTCATGACAAGAGAAGGGGAAAGGAGACGGTTCTAATGATTAAAGGACAAGCTGGTTTCATGTTCAAAAGTCATGGCTATGTATCATGCAGGTTAGAAGAGGAAAGAATGATAGGAGGACTTCCACATACTCTGAGTGCAAAATAGGTTTTTAAAATATGATCTCTAAGCTTTTGCAAGGGAGAGTATAAGAATTATCAGAAGGAACTGAAGGAAGTAGGTGACAAGGACAGCTGGAATTTTTTCATGCCTTCTTAGTTTTTCCAATGCTTTTCAGATATTCTCAAAGTCAATTACCTCTGTGTCTTTTACAGGTACTCCTGGTCTGATCAAAAATATAACTGTCATTCCATCTAGTGTATTAGCTGTTGTGAGGTGGGAAAAACCAGAAAATGGAGGCTACTCTATCACATCCTATACTTTAAGATATCGCACTTTGGATGAGGATATATGGCAATCTTTTATGTCAGGTCACATACCTTCAACCATCGTAAGTAAAGTCATTCATTCTCTATTACACTTTTATTTCCATATTGCAAGTCGTTAAATTAGAATTTCAATAGTGAGTATGTCATCAGTGGAGGGGGCCTTGATTGAAGTGATTAAATACTGCATAAGTCTAGTCAACCTGTTACCATCTCTGTGGCTCTGAAGTCCTTCTGCTTCCTACAGAAACCCATAATTTTCAATTAAATTGTTTACTTATCTTCAAACCACCTTGGTAATTTTTGCCCAATGCTTTGTTTACCTTAAATTTAAATCAGTACTTAAAACATCCTTGAACCTAAAGAATCATTGGTTGCTTTAACTAAAGCTGAAATCGCTTAGAATTCCCTTTAGAACATTTGGTTTTGTGAGACCCCTGCTGCTCTTGTAAAATTTATAGTTATCTCACAAAGAAAATTTGTGTGAATGAGCCCATCTCTGAGGTAAACTATTTGTTAACTTATGGTAGAAAAATAGCTCCAAAATAAAAAAAAAACAATTTTGTGAGGCATTTACTCATTTGCAGTCACTTAAGTATATTGTCATCCTATCAATTAACATTTCATCACTACAAAAGCTTGTAATTTCATTAAAGTGACTTTTTTTCTCCTAACCAGAATCAAGTGGATGTTTATAAGCTTGAGCCCAACACCACCTATGTTTTTCAAATTTGGGCCAACAACAAGTTGGGCTCTGGCACAGTGAATGAATTAGAATTCACCACTCAGCACAGTCGGAAGGAAGTTGGTGAGTTTTAAAATTGCAGTTTTACTTTCAGTCTCTTCAGATGACTTCATTTTTTTTGCAGAGAAATAAATGAACACAATAAATTAACTCTAAGTAATCGATTCCTCGTGGCATTTCACAATAAAACGGATTTAGTGCCAATAAACTCAAAATAGATTTATTTATGTGTACAAAGTCTCAGTATGGATAGTAACATTTTTATTAATTTTTTTTTTTTTTAAAAAACTTTATTTTTTTTTCTGAAACGCTAAGAATGTAAGCATTCAAAAAAGCATTTTGAGCAAGGATCAGTATTCTGCCTTCCCCCTAAAATTTTAAGAGCCACCTTGGCTGGAAAGTTCAATTTTTAGGAGTCATCTAAAAAATTTTAGGAGCCAAATAAATTATATACGCTGCTGTTGCCTTGAGCTCGTGAGTTTGAAAAAATCGACACGGTGCATCAATTTTCTAGGCACCACCATGACCCAGCCTCCCAAATTTTTAAGTGCCAAAGCCTAATTCTTAGGAGCATTTGATGCATTGGAAGGCAGAGTACTGACACGGAATATTATTAATGAAGTATTTTTCTTTACTATTTTATATCATCATATCTCCACAATGTTGCTCCTAAGCTTTGAGGATTTGAGGAGTCCTATCACGTTTTTTCGGTTTTTTGAAATCACACCGACGTTGAACTAGCCATGATAATGCTCAATTAAAATGCTGTCTTTTCTTTCAGAGTTGGCAAGGCATTTACTGGTTGGTGCTGAGACTTTTGACACAAGGACTTGGCTGGTTGCAGTTTTCCTAGTTTTCAGTGCATTAATTTTCCTTGGTTTTGGAACATGCTTCATTTTCTATAGAGAATACCGTAAATCATCTTCCAAAGAAAATGGTAAATGCAAACGAATATTTTGTACGTTTATTAACTGTTGCCAATATGTATTTCTTCTGTCTTAGGACTATCGTCAAAATGGAGGTGCACCCTCACATCGTAAGGATGACGAATTGACTAATGAATTGATGAATGGGCTATTGCATTTTTTTAAAATTCATTTTTGGAAAGTATGCAAAAAATAAGAATGCTTGCATTTTTCTGTCTTTCATCCAATCAAATTTTAGCCAAGAAAAAGGATTTGCAAAGTCGCCAAAAATGCAACCCTGTTTCTAATTAGATAAATGTACACTATGGCAGTCCAAAAACATTGATATAAAATAGGACAGGAAAGGGCGGGACAGGGCTGAAAAACACAATAATATACAAACCGATTCCATGACCGGGAGACCCGTTGAAGTGTCCCGTGTTTTGTATATTACTGTGTTTTTCAGCCTTGTCCTTGCCTTTTCCTGTCCTATTTTATTTCTAATTAAATAAATATTGCTCCAACGGATGACATGATGTCACTAGAAGAATATTGTCCGCCACAGTGTATTATTTCATCTGGGTTTATTTATTTTCTCTCCGATGAAATTTGTAACAAAAGGTTATGTTTCATGAGCATGCTTCCATTAATGTTACTGTTTGAGGTAAATATTTGCATTTTTTTACTTTCTTTTTAAAATATTTAATAATTTGTTTATTATTTAAATTGTAAGGCAGACATATTTCATTGGCTATTGCATTGGTTGAAACCATGGGTCGTCGCCTGACGTGATGTCATAAGTTTCAGGCAAAAGAGAAACATTCTTTTTATAACTTCAATTTTAAGACTCTGTTTTTCAGGCGGGAAAGTTGTTTTGAACCCTGTAAAACTTAGAAATTTTTTTCACGTAAGAATATTTATCAAAAACATCTCTTTTCAAGTCAATTCCTGGGTCTTGCAACAGTCTTTTTGTGAATTTTTTAATAACCTATTTAATAGCCAGGTATTAAATAGGCTCATTTGGCTCATTTTCCCTGTAATCCGAAGTTAATGAACACGCTACATATATCTTTTGTTCCTCCTTTGATTTTGTGTGTCTGTTTTTTTTAAAGGGGATGAAGACACAGAAGAAGTAATGGAGCTTGTCCCTCATATTATTACAAACCCAGGTTATCATGATGAAAATCAACGGTGGTCCACCTCTGAACCTGATGAGGAATTTTACCAGATAACATTTCACCTCAATAATTCGGTGCAGTTAACTAACAAATCAAAATCGGTAAACATATAAGATTTATTTGTTTCTTCAGTTTTTCTCTTTACCACTGAGAAATTTACCTCAGTTGGAAGAGAATTATCTCTAAAAATATGCTCTGCGCTTTAGTAGTAAAGGAACATTTTGAAACTGAGTTGTTGCAAATGAACAGATTAATTGACGTTGTTTATCCTTCCCTCCCATGACCTCAACATTTCCTCTGCCTTAAAAATGAGGGCTTAGCAAGCAAGTGGATTTTAATAATACATTTTAAAATCCAAATCACTTCTGGTGATGGTTGAAAAACTTATCAGTACTAGGTATCCTCTAAATACTTAAAATTATAAAAACATATATTTATATGTATGTGTACATATTCTTCTTTTTTTTTTGTAATCATGAATGTTGAAGGATAAGACTGATCTACTGATTCATTTGTAACACTTTTTTGTTATTTGTTGCATTTTTTTATTGTTCTGGTTTTTTTCCCCTTCTTTTTTCCCCCTCCGTTTTGTTTGGAAAGAAAGGATACAATTTTGGACAAAATTTTGTCATAAAATTTGGAGTTTTCCAGTAACAAGAATACTTCCTTCATTATGCAGCTAATTGCTTTCCTCTTAGCGTCTAGAAAAGTTGAAAATGCTACGGAGCACCCCAATAATTACAAATAATCAAAAGGTGAATTTTAAATTGAAACATAAAAGTTTTACTGCAGGAAGGAAATGTATAGCATTCCATGTTTTGAAGTTTGCATTATTGTTCTATGCTTTCAGCGGAAATTTTTTTCAAACACCAATTTTTTATTTTGAAAATTCCTGAAAATCTGACATTGTTGAGGTTACAGCAATCAGTTTTCTCAAGTACTTGATGTGTAATCATTAACCTCACAGAATTTCTTTTTTTAATGACTTGCTTTTGGATACTTGAGCATTTTATCAATTTGGATCAATTGTAACTCCTCAGATCTGACTCTTCCTATCCCAACAAGAAATTTTAAATTTGCAGCTCCTCCTCTTTCATTCATTTATTTACTATTTAAATAATTTCATTTATAGGACAGAGAAATATTTTCTTTGAATTGTCCAATAATACTTCTTGAAGCAGTACAAATCAATTCTTTGAATGTTTGAGATTTCAGTTGACAATAAAACAGCTTAAGCGCTTTATTTTCATACAAAAGTAAGTACAGTTTTTCAATGTTTCCTCGATAATTTTCTAAGTTGTCTCTACTGAAAATGAGTCTGTTTTCTACTTTAATTCAAGAAAATTCCATGTTTTTTCTCACACTGAATCCAACTTCAAAGCAATGCATCTCGTATGTACAGAGCTTTATTTCGGTACAAAAGTCTCCGACACTTCTTCATGAAATTTCAGCTTTTACTATCTTCATCTATGGGTTGAGCACTGTTTACTTGTTTTTTTCATCACTAACTATTAATTGAATATTGGTTGTAATGACTGAAAATAGTCACTTCATGATTGAAGACTTATTATACTCATGTTTCCATAAATTTCACTGTCATTATGCTTAAGTCAATCAGCATTTTCTTTCCAGCGAACAAAACTTCTTGGTTTTAGGTAATTCCTGATTTTATAGAAGATAATAATGTCATTACTGTGCATTGTAAATTTGTATGCTAATTAGAAGAAATACTCGCTGTATGATCTAGCAGCTCTTTCTTTTGGCACTATGACCGACTTAAATTTACGACCAATTGTGGTGATTCTGTGATGCAAATCAATTCGGACACTATGCTCATGAATCCTGGAATTAAGGGTTTAATTTTTAATTTCTATGTTGAACATTTTAAGTTTGAAGCATAGCTTTTCAAAAACAGTCTGAGAAAGGTGCACTAGACTCTACACTCTGCATCTGTTTATAATTTGAATTCTTCACCTCATGTAATTTCTTAACTATTTGTGTTTCCTCACTCTGATGAGGTTACTCTCCAAGGGTTATTCAAATTGTAATTGTACCTCTAGGGCTGCTTTCAATTTTGACAATGTTGACCATTAAAATGAAATTGTACATGAATGAATTTCAACAATTTGAATACAACACATTTACATCACAATACATACAATTTCTCTAATTAAAGTAAATGCATCTGGGTGCTTATAATCTCACCAGATTAGTGTCTGGTAGGCTGTGCAATAGGTTTTTTGAATCCAGGTAAATTTCCTTTCTTCCATTTGTTACTGAGTGTGACAAATAGAGATTCATTTTTCCGTTGAAAGTAGGATTGGCAGTCAGCTCTGTGCTGTTTTCAATCTGTGCCTTAAACACTTGTCGAAAAATTGAAAGGAGTCATTTTTCCCCCTGCAATCAAACTTGTGTGATCGGTTTTTTTTTTTTTTTTTTTAATTCGCTTGCACAATTTGATTTGAACACTTGTGAACCTGATTATCAATGTAGGTTTAAATGACTAGTGCCCCAGGCAATTTTCATGTGTACAAGTTTGAACTCAAATCATTCTGTTTTCAAGCTCTAAATGGTGTTTCTTCAACTATTTGTACCATATCTCTGTTGTTTTATTAACTAGTTTGATAATAACACTTAAATTACTGTTGCGGATATGTCTAATTTCTTGTTAACACCTCATATTACTCTCTGTCAACCATTCCTTTAAATGTTTTGTACAAGGAAGGAAGTGGTAAGTTAATTTTCCATCTTCAGGTATTTCCCAGCTAGTCAAGTTGAAGGGCTGTGACCAAACAAAAATGTATTCTCTCCTCTTCCCCCTCAAGCGAAATTTCTCAGAATACTCGTAGTTATTTCTGTTGTACAAGGATTTTGAGTGTATGTACAAAGTGATACATTTTTGGAAAATCGCTTGGGTGCCCTGCATTGCCAAGGATGTTTTTTTAATTTCACAGTCTGACATCCAGAAAAGCCAATATCTCTGTAGTATTGTCTTGTTGCAGAATGATGGTGAATAGAAAAACAGTGAATTGGAGAGGAACGCAATGGAAGCTTGTCAACTCTAGAAATGATTCATTTCAAATGCTTATAAAACTACATATAATTCAACTACAAACAGTTCTCAAGAGTATCAGAGGGTTTTAGCATCAAAAACTGCAAGTCAATATTTCACACCCCAAGAGGGTTTTTTTTTTTTTGCTGTAGTAGGTATTTTTATTAGTTTGCCCCTTAAACGCCCCTCTGTGTGACCATCTTAATTTAATTTCAAAAAAATATTTAGTTTGTATAATCTATTCTTTTTTTAACTGTTTGTTAGTGTTTTAAAGGCTTTACTCCTGGCATTGAACTCCATTTATATTTCAAAACCTGCAAACTACATTCATGAAACCCCGATTAACTCTGATGGGATCTTTTCGAACCCTGTGCCTTCCTTTCTTTCCTGTCAAAATGCTTTCTGATGCTAGTCATAGTTTTTTATTTCAGTGTATGCTATTCTGCTCCCTTTTTTAGACCTCCTTTTATTTCTACCTGATATTAACTTTTATAGTTAGCCTGTATCATAATAGAATAGGTGTATAGCATGTAGAAAAATTCTTCAGTCTGCGGTTTATTTCAAACTAAAGTGTAAGCACCGTAAGATTGTCGTCAGGTGGTAACTCGTACATGAGAGTCATGTTCTCTGCAGCACCCTGTACCATGAGAAAGAACTGTATATTATCGGTAAAATATTAAGTTCCTCTGAACTTTCTACACATCTGTTCTATCCAGCTAAGTAACTATTTGCTGTAGTGCAATTTGTTGCCGCAATTTATTGATTGCAGATAGATTGTTTACTGTACACGTTTCCAATCTATATTACAGTAGATCGCATACTGAAGTTATTAATTTTAATAATGATCTTAAAAAAGCTTGTGATATTGTGCATAATCTTCGTTGTTTAATTCGCAATTCGGAATTATCAGTCTGCTTTGTCATGTATTTGATTTTCGTAAGTTATTTTTGAAATGAGTAATATTAGTACCTGTGACAAAATTGATGCTATTGATGTATTTTACTAAGCGCCTCTTTTTGTATCCTCCATTTTACTGATCTAATACTTGTAGAAAGGTTGTGAATTTTGAATTTTTCATGTGAAAGACATATCGGTGAATGTACAGAAATATCTTGATTAAGTATCTCTAGGATCAAGCTTTGGGTAGCAATGGTCTAAGTCATCATGCTAGAAAAATAATGTTGATTTTTAATCACTATTTTGTAAACTAGAGTTAGGGTAATATTTATTCGCTATGGTTTCTGTATTAAATGTATCTAGCTTTAAGTCTTTTGTATTTTTTTTTTAACCAAAAGTCACTAATTTTAATATTGCAAATTTATTAATGTTTTGTTGCTTGTATTTTGCTAGTATTTAAAAAAAATTGAGCTATAACAGTGAATTTTCATCAGGAATGGATCAGCACTGTTTTGTACCACAATCATTGTAGTTTCATAACGTGGGTATAATTGGCAAGACCTTAACATAAGATTTCTCACAGGGGAAGTGGGGTGCATGGTTTTGTCTTCAAGAGTATAATATTATGTATTTATTTATGATCTTCATCAACAAAACTTGAATTTTTGTTCTGACCATAGTGAAAATTCTTGCTAACATGTTGAAGTATGATCTTAATATCACCATCAAAATTCTATGATCTCTTTCATACTTTTTTTGCCATTTCCTTTGCAAGTGGGTGTGTGCAGCTTTTATTCTAAGGGAATAATCAGCACTACAAGACAAATTTTAAAAATGGTGCAATGGTTCTAGTGCTGATCTATTCTGTTTCTGAGACCTACAATAAGAAATTGAGCTTCATTTTATGTATCTCTTTGTCTTAAATTTTTTATGACAAAAGTTTGTTTTTAATCACATTTTATTAGTACCCCAGAGCCAAAACATACCCAACTCCATTTCAACCATTTAAATATATAAAGGATACTGCATATTGGGAAGCCCATTAAAATCACAATTTTTGGACCGTTATATCTCTCACAATCACTGATGGATCAGGGCACTAAATTTTTTATGCGTCAGGAACTCTTGTTGGAGACTTCCAAAATACTAATAACTAACTTTATCCATAAATAGGAGTTGGGTACCTTTTAGCTTCAGGACCGTACTATGAGGGTAGCCATTATGATTATTTCTCTGGTGTTGTTCAATACTGCCTTTGTTATAGTGCATCAATTTTTAAAGCTAGGCAATAGCTCCTCAATTTTTAGATAAACGTCATCTGGGAAGCAGTTATGTGCATTAAACTAGTATATTATACGTTTCTTTTTTCAAGCACCTAAAAAAGTAATAAAAGTGGTTGTTACAATAATAAACATTAGCAGAGCACCTTGTAGATTAAATTTAATGTTGCTAACACTTGTTTCCTAAAGTGTATTTCTTTTTTTAGTCTAAGTACTAACTTTGTAACAATATAACATCTCAGGATAGACCACCAAAGTGCTAAGGTACTAACAAAACAATACAGTAAAGGTTGTAAGATTAGAAGAATTTTTTTGTATTTAGTAATTCTCTCAATTCAAATCAAGTTTTTCAAAAGTGTTTCCATGACCAGTTTATTGTTCTTATTTGAAAATTAAATGTTCATTAGTATTATTTTCAGAAAATACGTTTTCTCTCACAATTAGAGTCTGGATAGCATCAAATTTTGAATGGATGCCATATTTTGCTTTGCTTGAACATTTTCTTATTGTAAGCCTTCATTAGAAAGTATGTGACTTCCAACGGCCACTGTGAAGGAAATAATTAAATCAATACTATCTCGAAGTTTCCGGAAGGTCAGTATATTTATGAAAGACTCTACTAATACCGCAATATCCATGAGGGAATTTTGAAAAGTTTTCCGTAGGTATCCTCTTCATCTAATTTTTCAGGAAATAACGAAAACTGTCCATAAGTGAATGAAGACACTGCAAGTTTTAATTTCAAAATAAAATTTTCCTTCCTATGTGGGGTAGCAATGAGTAAAACCAGGGTAACATTGCAAGTTCCATTGATATCTAGAATTTGGGAAGAAAATAGAAAATCTAGAAAAATGAAGATGGTAGATTTTCATAATATATTTTTTTTCTTTACTCTAGCTGAAAGCATTGCAATCAAAACGTAGAATCTCAAGTGTCTCTTAGAGTTGCTTTAAAATAGTATGCAAAACTTACTGTTAAAAATTCTAGACAGAAGGAATGACAGCAAATGCATTCTCAAGATTTCTTGAAAAACGAGTTCAACTTGATTAATGATAGTAATAACATGTAACATCAAACTTGCTGGAACTTTAGATACTTGTCTTCTTTCGATTTGATTATTCCCATACTGATAATGACAAAAAGCCTGGAAGTTATAGGGAAATCCTTCAATTTTATCAAGGTCCATTGTTAACCTGAACAGTAGCAACCAGTAGAATTGGAATTATTGTTAAAATTATTATCAAGCAATCACATCTCAGTGAATAAATTGTAACTAAACAGAATTTCTAAGAAAGAAATCAACTTTTTTGGCTTATTGTTAGTGTAGTATTCAGATGTGTTTTTACTAGTGTATGCAAGCACTTGGTTTTCTCTCGACACATAGACACTGTCGAACCCGTGTTTCTTAATCTCTTTTATTAGTCATCTGATATTACCTCTCATGAAAATTGCTGTAACAATACCTACCTTCAAAGCCCAAGTCTCCCCCAGTTCCTCACTGCTATTGATCATTTTTTTTCTCTGAAGCTAAATATTTGGTTTCTGCTTCTCTCAAAATGCCTGAAGCCCTATGTAGGTACCAACTATAGAACTATGTACTTTCACTTTTCGTCCCTCCATAGTCAAGAATCTTTTTCTCTGAAAACTTTTCCTTTGTGAGTATACTATTTCCCCCTTCTTTTTTTATCTGATGTCGCTTAAGAGTCTCAAAAAATCCCATGTAAGTGTAAAAGGTACTACAAATTTGATCTCATTAGGTAAGTAGGAACCTACCCAGGTTATCGAGATAATTTTGAAAGTAGTTCATAAAGGAGAGACATAAAAGTGAAATGAGCTTTATCACAATTTCGTACATTCCTTTTTTTTCTTTCTTTATTTTCGAAAACCCCATTTTCAAGCCAGAAAATGTTGAAAGCATAATTGGACTACATTTTGCAATTAGAAACTACAATTTCTAGCTCAGTTTAGAAATAGGTAATGAGTGTATCATTAGTTTCTCTATGCACACAAGTGTTTTAACAGATGACCCAGATGTTGTTGTTCCAAATTGCAAAGTGAAGTTCAATTAATGGCACCTATCACTAGTATCTGTACCAACACTGTAAGTTTTTCCTCCTTTTACATGGTAATGTGTTGGTAGAATTTGTGTGGCTGTTTAAATTTGGAACACTTTCCAGTGCAATTTCTTATATGGTGGGTTTTCTCTTATTATTTAGGTACCCTTTTTCCTCTTTTTTTTTAGTTTGTTTTATCATCCGTGTTCGTATGATTTTGCATTTTATTTTGATTTTCTTATATGTGCTAGAGATTCACTGTCATTATTATGTACATCATTTTAACCTATTTTCGAATAATAACTTTTGGCTAATACTTTTGTGTAAACTTTCTCCTTATCCCTTCCAAATCTGAAAGACTTTGAGGGTCCGATGTTTGACTTTTGAATGATTTACATACTGTTGCGTCTGTTTTTTATTAACCAACGTCAAAATCAGAAATAATGTTTACTGGAAGTAGCTACGACCATCTTCATTTTCTCTATTCGAAAATGTTGACCTCCCCTCCCCCTGTGCTTCGCGCCTCCAAGACGCACTTCAACCAGCAGGCTGATCGTTAAAATTGATAGACAAAGCTATAGACAAAGAAGACATAGGCAGTATGAAGCCGTGCCATTGGTTGAATGGGTAGTTCTTATGGACTAAGGGAGAAAATGATGGACTAACTGTCAGGTTACTCGTGGGTTGTCGTTAGTTAGTCTATTACCTACTGCCTTTGTCCATTGCAACCATTAGCTTCCACCAATAGGTTCCCTCCTTATCCCTTTTGTATCATCTTTGTCTTTAGCTTTGTCCATCAGTTTCAACAATCAGTCCGCAGGAGAGACCAAACAGCCTCGCAGCCTAATTTCGAAAAAATTTCGAAGAGACTTTTCTTTATTTTCGAAATAGGATTAAGTACCTATATTATTTCGATTTTTGCCTTTTTATTTAGCAAAACAAAAAAGCGAGCCGATAAACTCGCAAAAAACGGGCTTACAAAAAAATAAAAAAAATAAAATACAATAAAATGTAAAATATGGGGCATAAAATACAAGCGTCACACCTCAATGACTGAAGTCAAAAAGTGCGTAGCGCAAATCGCAAAGTTGCAGGTTTTCATTCTGCCGTGCTAAGGAAAAACGCCGTATGAACTTTCAGGCGTTGCCAAATCTCCTTTGATAATACACAAATTTCCTGGTAACCTCATGAATATTTTTCTTCCAATTTTTCAGTATATTTTGTTCGCAATTTCACCCAAATTTCCTTAAAATTTCGAGGAAAAATATTTATAACTTCCCTCGAAAATGAACATTTTATGAAAGGAAATTTGGCAACTCTCGAATGTTCATACGGCTTTCTTCCGTAGCACGACAGCCTTCATGTCATATTTTTTCAAAAGAAAATCAACCAATAGCTTTCCCACTAAAATGTTCCTGCTACTTTTTGCTACTCATTCAAGTAATTCAAGAATAGGCACCTATTCACAGAGAGATTTCAGGGGATATTTTGGTTCGCTCTCTTTTGGAGAATAAATCAAACAAAATCTAACAATTTTAAACGTTACAGTGGAGGTGCGCTTTTTCAAACTTTAACAGCGATTAATTATTTCAGTCGAAGCCAACTATTATCTCGGTTGGCTTATGCAAAATATTAATTTAGAAACTCCCAAAATCAAGTGGTTTAGCTGAGTACTGTCTTGCTAAGGAAAAACGCCGTATGAGCATTCGAGAGTTGTCTAACAGCCGCTCGGTAAATATTTCTTTTTGGAGGAATTCATCAGGAATATTTTTCTTTAAAGCTTACAGACACTTCAGACCACATTACGAGCGAAATTTTCTAGAAAAATCGGAAGAAAATTATTCATACATTTTCTCGAAAATGCATACTTTCTCGAAGGAAATTTGGCAACGCCTGAAGGTTCATACGGCGTTCTTCCTGAGCACGGCAGAGAAGATGTCTGTGATGCATGCACAAAAAATGGAGAAGCCCCGGCTATATTTAATAGAGCATCAACACGTGAAAGATACGTGAGGCGAAATAGTTTATTAGTCAGCAGGGATGTAAACTGAAGATGCAATATTGGTTAGGGCTAGGGACCATTCCACCACCTAACTTATTGGATTACAAACTCTGCTTCAACAACTATAAACATGTGCGGCAAACATTGCTGCGCAGGTGAAGATATCCGAAACGCCTTCATTTTCGTGTATATACAGCACGGATGTCCTTTGAGCACGAATAGTCGTATCAAAGTATTGCATTTTAGTTTTGTTTCGTCAAGTTTCTGCGTCGCTTCCATTAACCGAGGTGGTAATTTGAGATACCTATCCCTCTCCGCTTTAGTTCTCCTTTTGAAGGAAACGTAATGAATCGTCGTTTTATGCTTACTTTATTAATGCATCTTTGTGATAGTTCGCGGGTATTTCAGTCTTAGTTTTCCCGCAGGCAAATTCAGGAAAGCTGTTTTAATTTTTGACGAGTTCGGTCAAAAAATTAAAGTAAGAATTTGAGGTGCAAAACGCTTTTCAGTATTATAAGGTTAATTTTTGAGATGGCAGAAGTGAACATAGACGACGGTGTTTGATGGGACAACGTTGAATCTGGAGCACAGTCTTGGACAAGTAGCTCCAAGCCTCATACGAAGGTCATCCAAAAAGTAAGGCTACGTAGTTCATAAATATAAAACGCTCGATAGTGTCCAAGTTTATTAAATTTGGATAAACGGTTCGGTCAGTTAGTCAATATTTTTCCTAACTTCACGAATGAGACTTTTTCCTGCGACAAATCTCATGAAAATGTCCCGTGAATTAGGTGGAGACAAGGCCGTACCTTATCATTTTGAATCATCTGCAGGTAACGTCTGCCATTTTTTTTTGGATCCTACCATAACTAAAAGCTCCATGAAGGGATGGCTGAGTCAATCAGACATAGACCCTTTGGCGCCCATATTGGAGGGTAAGGGATTCGATCGAAAAATAAAAACGGGAATCAATCGATGTGATTCGATCGACATCGATTTGATCGACAGTCGTGGATTTATCGACAAACCCGGGAATCGATCGACAAACCCGTGAAGCGATCGACAAAATCCGTAAATCGATCGACAAAAATCTGTAAATCGATCGAATCGATGTCGATCTGAACGCGTTATTCAATTTTTCGATCGATTCAAATCGATCGAATCGACACTGTTTTTAGACAGTTTGTCGATCGATTACGTCGATAGATTCTTCATCTTATTTTTCGATCGATTCACGTCGAACGAATCCATACCCTCCGTCCACACTCTCACCGAGTGTAGGAGTACTCTAATGTCGTGCTAAGGAAGAACGCCGTATGAGCCTTTATGTGTTGCCAGATTTCCTTTAATAAAATGCAGATTTCCTGGAAAACTTGCGGATATTTTTCTCCCAATTTTTCACAGAATTTCATTCGCAATTTAATCTACAGTATCTGAAAATTGAAAGGAAAAATATTCATAACTCTCTTCAAAAATTAAACATTTATTGGAGGAAATTTGGCAACTCTTAAATGTTCATACGGCGTTTTTCCTTAGCACGGCAGTCTCGAAATGATATGTTGATGGCAAGGGCCGGTGAATGGACGTCTATTCGGGCTGCGAGCTAAGCTATTGTAAGTAGCTATGCCGAGATTAAAATCGGACAGAAAAAAAATGTGATTTCAGGAACATCTCTAAGAATCGCTGACAAAAGAGAGGTGCTAGCGCCATGCCGCATACCGCATGCCGCGCGGAGCAGTCATAATTACATTGATGTAGACGCGGCTGACGCGGACATTGCGCCGATGCTCGACGCGACGGCTGCTCAGAAATCGCTCACGTTGCCGCGCGGTTATTTAACCCTGTAATCGGTCAGACTCGCATCTTGTCTAGCGAATAGGAAGACGAAAAAGGAGGAAATCAGAAAAAAAAACACAGAAAGAAATTAAATGCTGATTTAGCTAGCATTTAAATTGTCGAAAAAAAGCCCGTCAAGTTTCCAATGCTGATTTTACAGTACAAAAATGCTAACGCAACATTTGAATTTGCTCGTTTTACAGTGGGCGTAGTTGAGTTAGCATTTCTTCAAATGTAAAATCAGCATTTGAAACTTGTCGAGCATGTTTTTATAACAATGTAAATGCTAAATCAACATTTAATTTTTTTCCATGAAAGATGAGGAAAATCCCTGCTAAAAATGAAGAGTAGGCTATTCAGAATTGGCTAATTCACGTGAGTAGAACTTTTTACTCATATGAGTAGAAATCCTACTCATATGAGGAGAAATTCTACTCATAAGAGTAGAGAAGTTCAACTTGTATGAATTCAATTTTTTTCATTTTTTAGAAGTGCTGCTTCTGACCAGGAGACATCTACTTAACGTGAAAATTGAAAATTAAGTACATTTTGTTCTTATGACTTTTTTGATGCGGTGGCTAGTTTCTGAGATATCGGACACGGTAGATTCAACGCTGAACGCGCGTGAGTTGAAATCTTTTGTGATACGAGTTGGCGAAAACTGGATGGAGAAATTCTGCTCATATGGGTTAAATTCTATTGATATAAGTTGAAATTCTATTCATATGATTTGAAATTCTATTCATATGACTTTGATTTTCTACTCATTTGTACTCACCATTTCTAGCGGGGAAATCAATTCTTTGTCTAGTTTCCTTCTTTCTCCTCGTTTCTCAACCAATGAACCCTTTTCTCAACCCGTTTCTCGTTCAATGTTTTTACTTAGCACAGGTCATGAAAAATTTGAATTTCCCGCTGACATGAAATACCGGAGTCTATACTTTGAATCAAATCGGGTGAAATGACAGTTTTGACAGGCTTCTTAAAAAATAGTGTTCATCCCCACTCTATTTTGTTAAGTGCAGCGACTGAGCCTAAGTGCCGACATTGTGGTTGCGTGCCATGTTTTCATACTTCGGAGACTGTTACGGTAACGTTCAGTGTGCGATTCAACTAGGCCTGTCCCCGAACCGATCGATCGATCGATCGATTATTTCGATGATCGTTCGAAGACCTGTTTCGATCGAAACTGCTCGATCGAACTGCTCGATCGAACTGCTCGATCGAAATGTTCGATCGAAATGCTCGATCGAAGTGCTCGATCGGAACGCCCGATCGAAACGTTTGTTTTGAAAGGCGTTTCGATCGAAATGTTATTTTTTAATGTTGAAAAAAGATTTTTACCATGTTTAGCAAATAATTGCAGAATTTTCATATTGTTGTCAAGAATTCCTCTTCCTCTAATTTTTTTCTTCGTTTCGAATTCGATTGAAATAACAGCATCAGCGTTAAGTACCGTAGCAGTTCTGTCCGCAAAT